GGTTATCATTTTTAAACCTTGTAAATGCTTGTTCCAGTCACGTAATCAGCAAATTAGCCTCTAAAAGCAGAAACTCCACTGCACAACAAGTGCATTATAATCATTTGCATGAACAGATGTACGTGTAAAGCACTGCTACATCTCATTTTTTAAGCAGTGGAAAACAAGGATGTGTTAGGAGTGACGCGGCCTCTTGGCTCTGATTTGTTCCATTTTCAATTATTTACCAGGCTTCCTAATTATCACAGGAGATTAAAGGCTACATTGCTGAATGCCACTGTGTGGAAAGTGCAGGCTTTTTAATCAGATGATTGGAAAGGTCATAGGAGTAAGATGAGGATCTTCATTCAGTTGTTCACCAATTCATTTTACATTTTACATGCTTGAGCTAATTTGCACCTTGTGATCAGTCTCAGAAGGCTCTGTAATCCTTTGGAAAGCAAGGCAGGCTGAGAACTTTCTAGTTGTCTTAAGAGGAACATCTGACATTCACAATGGAATACATAAATAGACTTTAAATTCTGTGAAAAAAATCTACCTGTTCTGTATTTTTTCTTCTTGCTAGCAAGCAATTAATAAATTCAGTTTCTGTGCTGACATAGGAAAATATCCAATCAATAAAAAATGGAAATTTGAAATGTGTACTGTGTACTGAAATACAGCTGTTGCTGTAGAGGAATTTAAAAGGGAAAAGAAGCTACAGTATATACAAATAGCATCTCGATTTCTCTAGCTACACCTAAACAATTCTGTCCCCAAAGATATTGGAGAGTCACCTACCCTAAGTGCATTTTCTAGGTCAAACCTTTCTTTTCATAAAGGCTTTTATTTAATTAATTAGTCTCTGCTCTGTTTTATAACAACCATTTATCCTCTGCTGCTTGTGTTTCTAATATGCTTATTTTGTAATTTGCTATTCTTGTAACTGTTCTGTTTTTACACTTACAGTAAGGTGCTTTGAGCTGCTACTTTAAATGAATTAATAATAATTAAGCAGGATTCATTAACATTGGGGAGTGAAGCTTCATGCAAACTGCATACAACTGTACGTTGTCTCCTTTATATAATAGCAGGCAGTGAATTCTTCTTATGGAATTGCTGAGTTGTAGCATGGACACCCAAGCCTTTCTTTAGGATTAACTGTAAGCCTTCCAGGGGTGTTGTCAGTGTGTATTACCACTGGACATCAATGTCTAATTTAAGTTTTAACTTGATCACAGGGGAAAGCTTTGCTTTGCTGCTGTTAAATGAACATACTTTTTTAGCTAGGCAAAAGCAGTGAATGACTGCAAGTGTCTTATTGCTCCATATTTGAAAGCCTGTTTCAGTGAACAGACCTTATACTCTACAAAGGTAGAGTATTTTCTTGACTGACATCGTAGATTTATTTCTGAATAACACTGCCAAAATTGATCTGACTTAATGTAATTTATTGAATGAGACTACGATATTATTTCACTCAGAAACCTAAGTCTGCCACTGTGGCAGGCTTTTTACAAGACATATCGCCTTTCAGGTATTTGTTCAGGTAATTCCCATGGTTTCATAATAAAACATATTTTCTAAGGAAGTGAAATCTATTTTAAAGGAAAGTGAAATGAAACAGTTCAGATGGTTTGGGAATAATGTATTTTCTCTCTTCACTTTTTTTTGTTCTTATTGATATGTTGTTGTATAGAGTAGTACATATTTATTCTGAAATGACACTTTTGTCCAGTTTCGACCACATTTTTTAACCTTAGGGAGATAGGTTTCAAGTTCCTGCATTGCCTGGAGCAGCTGTGGGGCTGTTTCTTTGAATTGGCTGTGGAATGTGAATTTCCAAAGAGGAACAATATTGTTTCAAGGTAGGAGGAAAAAGCACAACTTAAAATGAGTCTTGAGTTTTCACAGAAAGATGCTACATCAAAAATTAGGTTTTGCAAATGCAGAAGACTTCTCAGTGTTGTAAAATTAATTTAAAGACATCTTCCTTTTTTGCAATGATAAATAGTTCAAAAGACAATTGACATTTAAACCTTGATCAATTTATACTGCCATTAGGACTGGTCAGATGCTGTAACCCAGATCCGACATGAATGCATATTTAAAGATTATGGATATAACATTTTTAAAGGGGAAATAAATACCTGATGAGATGGTTAAGCTGGTTAGCTTAAACTAAAACCCCCCATTAGAAAATATAAATACTTGCTACAGTCATGCACTGTCAAAAAATAGGAGCATTGACTCACTGTTAGAACAGGAGGCAAGAGCCATGATGTCTGATTCACAAACATGATGTCTTTACATCACTAGATAACCAACAACAGCTCAGAGAACCTATTGTAAAACCTTTATTCCAAGCAAAGAATCTGGCCTTCTTGAGTGCTGGGAATTGTTGTGGCTACAGATAATGTCTTGAGTACTGATAACCTAATCTTTGTTTTCTAAAAAGACGTCCCCCTAGCTTCTTATAGTTTTTTACATCACCCAATCTAGGAATACAGAAAAAAACTCTTAAAGGTAAAAGGATATAATGAGCATCTAAGAAATCACATAATCTTTTTAAGGTTCACATGTTAATGTAACTGTTCTAAAGTTTCCATATCAAACTTCTAAGCTGTGAAATGTATCCTCTCAATGATCATGGCCATTTAATGTTCACAAGCAGATTTTTTATATTCATTTTAAGTAATATACTGATGCACAAAAGAAATTCAACACTTGGTAATTAATTACACCTATTTTAAATATAGATTTAAATTTAAATATAGATTTTAAATATAGATACCACTCAACATCACAGCAAATGTGAAAATAGAAGTTATAGAAAGTTATAGAAATAGAAGTTATTAGAAAATAGAAATTATTTATATTTTTGGCATGAAAAATGACACATTAAATATATTTCAAAATAATAGATTGGGTGTGGCCTCCCTAAACACAGATCTGACCGTGTTGATGTAAAAACACAATTATCATCTGCCTCTTCTAGCTGTGGGGTCTAATGTAACTGTAAACACCCGACAAATGCTGGCCACACAGAATTTATTGATGCCAAGGTGGTCCAGAGAAAAGGTGACATGCCATTGTAATCATAGCATTATAATAATAATAATTGCTTATACTTATATAGTGCTTTTCTGGACACTCAACTCAAAGCACTTTACAGGTAATGGGGATCCCCTCCACCACCACCAATGTGCAGCCCCACCTGGATGATGCAACGGCAGCCATAGTGTGCCAGAACGCTCAGCACACATCAGCTATTTTTAATGACCACAGAGAGTCAGGACCTCGGTTTTACGTCTCAGCCGAAGGACAGCACCTGTTTACAGTATAGTGTCCCCCTTACTATACTGGGGCATTAGGGCCACATGGATCACAGGGTGAGTGTCCCCTGCTGGCCCCACTTACACCTCTTCCAGCAGCAACCTTAGTTTTTCCCAGGAGGTCTCCCATCCAAGTACTGACCAGGCTCACTCCTGCTTAGCTTCAGTGGGTTGCCTGTTGTGAGTTGCAGGGTGATATGGCTATGTGCTCTTGCACTGTCCAACTGGAAACCTAGGACAGAAAAATGATTGGTTAAAGGAATTTGTCAATGTGTCACTGAGCTGCAAGATTGCCTTCAATCTGCACCAGAGGTATTATGTTCAAGACGTTTCCCCCCTTAGACAGTCATACTTCTCACACCCCACACATTGCGTCAATCAGATTCCCTCTCTCCCACTTCTCCACACATATTGTCTTTTGTCAGGTCCATCAAGGAAGAGCTGGCTGATTTTGTGCTTTCTCTGAATTCATTTACCAAGTCAAGAAGCAGAGCATCTCCAGGTAGCTTCTCTCACAGACTGGCCAACTTCAAACATGCCCATAGTAACCAGGACATTTTCATCAAGTAAACAGGGAATGGGGTGTTTTTTTTTTGCTGTTCCTGCATTAATTACATGACCGTTGAGCATTTTTTTAAGGTACTTTAGCCTTACCTGATCTTAATGCTTATTCCTGATTCTGTGTCCCTCTTCCACCATTGACCAATACCATCACGAGCAAGTGAGAGCTTGCAGTTTGACAATGGAAAATTAATGGAGACCTCTCGGAACATAACACCTGTGGTTATGCTGCAGGTCTTGGTTTGCATGTAAAAATCTAAATATAGCCTTTGCTTTCAGTACTTATGTTTGAATGTGTAAAAGAAACTCAAGAGGGGAATCGCCAGCTTTTTCATATATAGCAGATGCTTACAACAATAGTTTCAGTGGTTTATTAGTTCCATTTTCTGGACCTTCCACATTTAAACTGACAGTTATGAACATGTGCTCATTTTAAGTTTGTGATATTACGCTACGTACTTGGTAAAGATTAGGCATGATCAGCATGTGAGACAAGGGGAGGGAGGGAAATCCAACTGTATTTGCTTTGTAAGGGTAGAAAGGGAGCTTGCAATCAGGAGTAAGATGTTAGATAAAAAAAAAAGTAGTGCCTCACCGTCTTGTAGGAATACAGCTAACCTACAGCCAGAGAGATTTTCCACACGTCTTAATCTTTAATGTTAGAACCACAGGGTTGGTTGTCCTGCTGGAATTTAAAATAATTTCTTAAAAATCTAGGACCAGCACATTGGTTGTTAAAATGTACCAAGTACACATTTGTTTAAATTCATTAATCAGGGCTAATCACCCACTTCACCAGCATCATGTTCAGTACTGAGACTTGAGAAGAACGGGGGGAGGGGTGGGTGGGGAAGAGACTTCTGACTTCATATGGCATTCCATAAAACTATTCTAGCAATAAAAGAAGTCATGGCTGCCTCTAAGAATTCTAGACCTTTAAATGTAGTGTCACCGAGAGGACATTATACACAGTTTTAAATCCCACACAACTGAGGGGAAAAAAAAAAAAAGCCCATCCATGCCATTTTAAGTATATATTACACACCCATGATAATTAAAGGCATGGGAAATTGCAGCACCCTCCCAAGAAACCCAGTTGTAATTCAAAACCACAAGGAGACATGATTCATTGCACTAATTTAATTTTGCAGCAGTTTAAATATTCAATAAAGAAAGCATCCCTTAATCATGAAAAATTTACATAGTAAATTAGAAGGAGAAAGGCATGTACGCATTTATACACACTAGAATTACAGAACCGGTGGATACCAAAATACCTTGCAGACACAGAGGGTGGGGGAAGGGAAGAGTACAAAAACCATTACATTACCCATAGAGGTCTTTGCTTACATTCCACCCACTTCCAACTATTAGATTGGGTTGCATTTCCAGCCTGGATGTGGCTAGGACTTACTATGGACAGTTTACCCCCAATTATATGGCGGTAGTAACGAAGCAAATATAGGCAGGAATATGGGTTATAAAAATAGACTTTGCATAAGACTATTTAAATCAATATTTTATTACATCTCAAACACTGATTAGCTGAGGAAAGAGTTCATTGGCAAAGACATCATCCCACGGGCTGTCAGCACACAGCGGGGATGACATGTTGCTGAAGGGAGACGGGGACTGCTCATATCCAGAGTCGCTGTACGCGTCCAACACGCACGATGATTTTTCGGGGCTGCATGTCGGGGAAACAGAGGTGAGGAAGTCGTTGACCCTGATCTCGGGGATCAGCTCGATCTCCTCCGGCTCCTCCTTAACGGACACGGGCTCCACCTCCACGATCTCTTCCGCAGCCAGGGCAGGTTCTTCAATCTTCACTTCAGGGATGCTTTCTTCATTCTGCTCCACGTTGGTCACCTCTGCCAAAGGCTTGGTGTAGATGTGGTCAAAGTGAATCAGTTCATTAAGGGCTTCCAGCTTAACTGATGGGGTCCCCAGAGGTGCAGGGGTGGGGGAAGGTACTGGATCGGGCTCTTCTTCTCCCAGCTGCGGCAGCTCCCTGAACTCCGACTCGGCACAATTCTTGAGGAACAGCTCAGGGTCAAGGATGTCCAGAATGCCAAGCAAGAGATCAGACTGTGGACAGAGAGGTTATACACTCGGATGAGAATCGGTAAGCTAAAAACCTGTGCTTGAAATGCAGCATTTGATCAATAAGAAGGACAAGAAGGGCTAATGTCAGCATCTACACCAGACTGTGGCTTAGCAGAACTCCATGCTTTACGGATTCCTTTTGAAATGGACACACTCTCCACCCCATCCTCAACAGATAGCTTTGTTTCCAGACCAAAACTGCTTGACAACAGTCTTCCTCATCAGCTGACTGTCATGAGCTAATCAATAAGCCTCTCAGAGGGAATCCAAACACTTCCACACCATCCTCCCCCTTCAAGTCCACTTTAATAGGGGAGAGCAGAACACCAGATCAGTGCTTAGGTTTGTAGCTCCAGTTTTAAAAAAAAAAAATAAATTAAACCCTTAAGTGTGTAACACAGGAATGGCACCCCCCAGCAGTTGAGGGGCAGGAAACCCACCTCAGAGTCTGTAGAGTCAGGACTGTCAGTAGCCATGTGGGCATCCTCCGATTTGATGACTGCTGGGCCTGCACCTGCTGCAGAGGCACACGTAGCCTGAGTACTGCGGACTCAGAAGACCCGATCACCAAACCGACCTCACCCACACTGGACTGCAACACCTGAACCTGCAGGAAACACAGGGGGGAAAGACAGGCTCAGCACACTCCGCTGTGGCAGATGAGAGGAGGTTGGGATGGGGGCGGGGGAAGACCACAAAATATCTCTTAGCACAGGAAAACAAAGCCACTACCTTCTCTTTAATTTCCAGAGTATCCAACCCCAGCCTTTGGCGCAGTTCCTCATTTTCAGTCACCAATCCGTGTGTCTTTTCACGTAACAGTCTGTTCTCAATGTGAAGTTTCTGATTCTGGAAGACCAGCAAGAAAAAACTAGTTTGTAAGTCCACATTACATATTCGCATTTTTTATTTTGATTTAAAAAAAAACACATTAAAGCTGGCTCAGTAACCCAACAATAAAGTATGTTTCCTATCTTTGGCAGATGGAAATGACATCCACTGTTTTCCCCATTTGCTAAACTCTGGTTCATACAAATCTGCAAAGATGTCAGGCAAGGTGTCAGTAGTTTCTATTCTAACCAGGGACTCGTTTTTAATATGAAGACACTTGAATAAAAAGAAATGAATCTGTAATGACATCACTACATTCGACATTTGCAGGAATACCTCCAATTCCAGCTCCAAAACCTGCTGTTCCAGTTCACCCATTTTGGCTTTTTTTCTGTCTCTGGCCGTCTGGGCGGCGACCCGGTTTTTTAATTTCCTTTAAAAGAGCAGGAAGAACAAAAAAACAAGAAGTCACTTCTACTGTGAAAACTATCTTGCGGCACAGCCCCGTTACACGCATCTTGGCAGAGCTGGAGAAGTTCCGAGAATACCGGGTTGCGCAACTCCAGCTCGGCCATCTTGCCACGCAGGCAAAACCGGATCTTTACATCCTCGGCGAGTTATGCGAAGCGGAAATAGAGGCGACAGATAGGGGAAACGCAGATCACAATCAAAGACTTTTAAAAAATGCAGACGGTCGAGACACGCAGATATAAAAACCGTTTTAGCAGATCATCGAAATGCAATGATTCATTTAACTCTTACTGTAACGTTAAGGTACTCTCTCCCCACCCGGAATATCAAATCACATTTGTAACATTACACAGGCAACATCATCACTAAGAAATAAGGAATTCTCAGATGCCAACCTCCTAAGTGCTTTTTCTTCGGGACTCAAGTGCGTGAGCCGCTGTCTTTTGCGCTGAGGCTGTCCAGACCCATTGGAGTCGGAGTCCGAGGAAGCCTGTGTCCCAGACGACGGCAATACCATTGAAATAGACCGGCTGAACCCTCCCTGGGTGCCGGCGGACGAGGCAGCCTGCTTCCCAGATATCAGCAGCACTTTGTGGCCGCCTCCTGACCCTGTTGCTATAACCACCATCCCGTATTCCCTCTCTGAGAGCTAAATTAAACCCTCGGTCTTTTCAACTCTTGATGAAAACTAGCTTAAAAATCCCTCTTACGTTCCTCGCTCATGCCCAGATCCACAATATCCTAATTTCCTCCTGCATGCAATTTCTACTGTCGTGTGCAGATCCGATTGGGCAATAGGCGCTCTGACGTCAGCCGGATCTGACTGCTGATTGGCTACGTCGTTGATGAAATTTATATCAGGAATGGCATCAGGCTGTTTATTCAGTGGGCTGTTGTTTGCATTTTTGGTAGAGGTAGAGGTGGTTTCCCGGTGGTGTCTGTTACATCGGGCAGAAGTAAAATTATTAATACCAAATAACAGCTCTCATAGTTTTTATGTCCACTGTTGGCAGGGTGCGAAGACGAAAAATAATAGCAAGCATCGAACTTGCACTAGTGTGTCGTTCTGCGCTGACCTGTAATTCTGCAATGCGTGCTTAGCTACGGGGTTTAAAACGTTTCGCAAGTGTTCTGGTCAGTCTAAAGTAAAAAAAAACATTTAAGGGAAAAGTTTTTCAGAACATGAATTTAAGTCCCTTCTCTTAAAAAGACAGCGCTAAACGTCCCACATTGCTCGAATCCTCTTTTACAATGTTGTAGAGTAACGAAGATATGTACACAGTTGTTCATACGCGAGAATGTCATAGTACTTTGTACTGTTCAGTGAATCATTGATCAGGTCAGAATGAAAGGACTTTACAGAGTTATACCCTTTCAAATGAGAAAATTATTTTATTTTTGTTAGTATTTTTCTTGTTATAATACGTTTAGTTTGCTACAATTCCTATGCACAAGAGCTGGTGCATGAGAGCTAGTTGGGAGCATCTCATTGCAGACAGGACAGCAGAGTAATAACAGATTAGAAGTCACAGTTCAAGACCAGAGTACACCGCTGGAATAAAAACTCTATTACTTGATATTTCTTTTCTATATCTTTCATGTATATTTTATTGTACCTATATTAAGTCACAGAGTATTTTTTATTTCATGCTAATTTGTCTGTGTATTCTAGGTTTTTGCATCTGTAAAACACCTTTGTGACGGTAATAATGCTACACACAGTTAACAATTCACAGACTTCTTCGATTATTCTGTAACATTTGATATCGACTGTGCTGCTATATAGGGGCGACAAGGTGAGACCCTTTCTTGTACGAGTTTGTGGCATAGTAAAGAACAATTGGAATGTATCTTATTCTGCAAACACGTTTAATCCACTTTGAAGCTGAAAGAACCGACTTTTTAATAGAATTTGTGAGATGTTTTTTCGTTGTATAACATTTATCAGCATGTATACATCAGTGATTTAACTGTATCTACTGTCTCATACAGATCTACAGTAAATAAAAACTATAAATGCAAAACTGTGACAAGGAGGCTGAAATTCAGTATTAGTCTTTGAGTAAATCTGTATAAGGAACATTACAAGAAAGGCTTTCAGATACCAACACAGTGGAAAATTATCTGTGGAGATCTAATATTTTTATTAACTTACAGGGATATAATAATTTAGAGGAAATTTTCACCCCATTTCCACTCCAAAAAACATATTATTGAAATTCTTTGTAGGATATGCAGCAAGTGACCATCTAGCTCAGATCTTCAGGCATTATGCTCTGGTTCCATCTTGTAGTTTCCAGAATATTCTGGAACAGCAGTTATACACAGCAGTCTAAAACTATACTAACAGCATGCCTGAGGTTTTTGTTTCAGTTATTGTTTTGCTATTGTTTGCATTCTGCCATCAGGGTTCTGTAGAGTCTTGTACAACTGTTTGTATGTCTTAGCTCAAAAGAAATGTTATATGAGGTAGTCTACAGTCAACACAAGTCCCTCATCCTAGCACCAGTATAGTTTACAAGAAAGGGTTTATAAGTAGGTGTTACACTGCATATTAATAAGGATCTCTATGTGGAACCTCTGGGTAATCAGATCTCTATACTATCCTGGGCCCTGCCTGAGCCTGTTGGATTTCTTCACGCTTTTTGATGCAATATCTTGAAATGTGTGGTCACATGTTTAGCAATTGCAACATTAGCACTCTTCTCTTTGTCTCTTATCTGTCCAACAGCACAACATTTCATCATCCTCTCTGTAATCAACAGTAGTAGCCACATCTTGGCTGCTGAGAAGAAATAGCCGCATATTAATGTGCTGGAAGTCTGCATCCACAGGATTATTTAAAATCTTTGTTTTCACTTGTTTAACAAGAACATATAATTAACAAACTAAGTAACCTTTAAGTATGGAATTAAATAATTAGGCCCATTAATTGTTGCATTGCTACTTTTTTCAACACGGTTTGCATGAACCGTTCTATCATAAGTTAGATGAGGCAAGTAATTGCAGGTTTCAGAGTCAGCAATGAAACTGTTGTACTTTCACAGGAGGTGCAATCTCAAGCTGTTCAAGAACATTTCTGGTAAAAAATAATTTACTGTTTTAGTTTCTTAGCTAATTTGGATTAATGCAAGATAGAATTTGTGTTTGTGGCCCCTATGTACTTGTGAATTGTTTTAAAGGCATAAACCTTTACTTTCACACTTTCGGTAAGATACTGGTTTTAAATAGTTTTTACACATGATGTTTTGTAAAGGTATTAAATGGAAGTGTCTAGGCTGCCTTGGACAGTATGAGATGTTCTGTCTTAAAGGCCATTATGATGTTGTTATTTCATTCTTTGATTCCATGTCAGGTTTCTTATTTAGATTTTAAACAAAATCTCCTCCTTAATTAAAAGTTATCCTTAATTAGAAGTATCCTCCTTAATTATAAATTATGTTCAGTTGTTTCTTAATATTTTAACCGCTAAACATCTGCGTTGTACTGTAGAAGATGTGTAAACACTGGCTCATTTGAATTCCCATGCGGCATTAAGCTGGCTATTTAAAAGTAAAAAGCAACATAGCCAGTCTGCCTATTCAGTCAATATTGACACGTGTGACCTAGGTTAGAAACAGGATGTACTGTAGCACTTTGCCAATCCATGCGAACAGCACTGGACTAAAGTGCTGTTGCATTGTTTCATTTCATGCTTGTATATTGTTTTGTGTAACTGGATGAGAGATTTAATGAAATCTGTGGTGAAAGTTCATAAATTGTGTGGATTAAACTTTTCTACAACCAGGAAGCAAGGAACATTACAATTGTTCAGTTATGGTCAAAAGCTTTGCATCACCATAACCTTATCAATGGTGCTGTAACAGCAAAATGACTCAGTTACACCAACTGTTCTTTCTCTGGTGACTGCAAACACAAATTTGGCTTCAGGCACAGCTAATCTAATGTGTCTTGGCAATATGTGGTAGTTGGGTACATTAAAATTACTTATTTTCTCTATGAAAAAATCCCAAAATATAGTTGAATCAGAGTGTGAAAAATGATTTATTAATTCATCTTTTAGTTATATATTTTAGAGGTTTTGGGACACAGTGGAACATAAAATTGAAAGCCTAAGAATTTGAGGTTGTGTTGTGTCTAGTCATCACCGGGCTAGTAGCCACTATGCTCATGCAACAGTAATACGCAGCTATATATCTGAATGCTGACAAAAGATAGAACATCTAATAAAATCAGTAGAGGTGCTTTATCAAGGCAAGGACAAGGGGAACTGTTTTTGTGATTACATACGCAAATTTGAAAAAGAGCCTAAAGTATTTCACCTCTCATTGCTCTAAAAGATAGTTGTCTTTTCAATCCTGATAGGTAAGTATGCCTTTCTGTTTGGCATGTGTGTTCCTATGAATGTGTTAGTAGATTTATGAATTAGAAGCAAAGAATCATACGCCCAGGTTTGCTTTGTTTTAAAGGATAAAGTTAAACCCTTTTTAATACTTGAACCAAGTAGAAGATACAATAGATGTTGCAGACATTCTGTCTGAATGTCCTCTCCCCACGTCTTAAGAACAATGCCATCAGCAGATCCTGGGGGCTTTACGGTGTTGTTTTGTGCTCCGTCTGTGATTTGCTGTTTTACTGTATGTGGACTTATCTTCCACAACATTTGTCCCTGAAAATAGAAAAATCAACTGAATGTGAAGCATGTCGGTAGCCCCTCTTTATTTTAGAGATCTGTGAAATCTCACAGCAGAAGCAGAACTTGCCTTCTGGCCAAGAGTATTTATTATTCACATCTCCTTACAAAAAAACAAAATATTGTACAGAAAAGTGCTGGCTGTACTGAGAACTCTGATTGTGTCCTAACTTAGACTTTTGCTTTTCTGCCTGTCTTTCTAATGTTTAATACATTTCAGTGAAAATGTGATGGGGGTGTCCACAATGTATATACATACATTCTTCATCATGTCTTATTATTTTTTCTTTCTAGTCAAATACTATGTTTATTGATGTTATAATACCTTATTAAAAAGTCTAATAATTACTGTATGTTTCATTGGAGTTTAAAGTTTATCACATAGTTGTACATTATATGTTTTCCCATTAGCTTTCCTAAGAAATGTTGTTCATTATTCCATTGATATAGTCAGAAGTTGGTTTATAAACTCCCATTAAGGATTTTTTGTGTGTGGAATTTTGAAGAGAATCTGGTTAGGAAATTTCCCAAAACTATACATCGTAAGAGAAAGTCGTGTGTGGTTGTCCCAGGATGGAGTGAAAAATTAGCTTCCTTTTTGTTAACACTTTTTTGTTCTGAGGAAATATTTCCCCCCATGTTAAAGGCAGGGAAATGTGTTACTGTGAAAGAAAAGAAGAGAAAATTAGGCCTGTTACTGTGTCCTTTCCTAACACCAATTTGAAAAGTAGAAACAGAATGGTCTCATCTCTCCTCAGGCATTTGCATTTCGACAGCTAACTAGGTATCTAACAGCATCAGAAGTCTTAGTTATTTCCCTTCTGAAACTGCGGTAAGACATAACCCATGATAAGGTATTTCGTTCTCAAGGACAGAAACCACAGAACATCACATATAACAACATTTACTTCCTTCTTTAATATATATATACACATTGTTAACTGCAGCTTAAGTTTTTTTTTAATAAAGTAAAGGTAGAAAAACAAATCTATTTATCAATGTATTGTTGTCAAAATCACATATGTCTTATAGATTTTTCTTGTAGGTTGACAACTATGTATATTTT